TCTCTCTCTCTCTCTCTCTCTCTCTCTCTCTCTCTCTCTCTCTCTCTCTCTCTCTCTCTCTCTCTCTCTCTCTCTCTCTCTCTCTCTCCGTTTGAATTTGAACGGCTACCAGTTTCCTACTTCGTGCCAATTTGAAAGGGACCACGGCGGAGGGGTAGACCGTGGACCGCAGGCCATTTCTCACTCCCCCAAGACTGTGCCACAGCCTCTGCTGGGCCCTCCCACGTAGCTGAGTAGACCTCAGTTTCTAAATCCCCCGCGCCACTTTTCTGCTTAGCCGAGTTTCGACTGCATTTGAGACTTGGGCCCTGACTGGACTGCGGAACGGTGTTTCAAACGCATTTCCATACTCTAACCCTGACTCCACCGTGGTTTTCCTTTTTTAAAAAATCCCTTGGGTGGGACCTCATACGGACATCCAGAGCTGGACACGAAGGCTGGGTCAGTCGGGATGGCCATCTGGACGTAGGAATGGTTACCATGATATAGTCCATGAAACTCTGATGAAACAGTCTGTCACAGCCCCTTGTTCGTTGTCCTCTTCTCCCTCTCTACCTACGGTTCACCAGGCAGTTCTCTATGACGATATATATCTTGTCAAACATAGCTCCTCGGTAAACCGTTGGCAGAGAGGGAGAAGAGGACAACAAACGAGGGGCTGTAGCAGACTGTTTCGTCGGAGTTTCACCCATGATATATATTCCGCACACTTGTTTCATAGCTTTTCATTGAGCTGCTGAACCTACACAACTTACAGACAATCCTAGATTAATAGCATGGCGATTTCCACAATAAAATAGTTCTGTTTCGAAAGATTTCTGTGTCCATAATGGAGATTGCATTGGTAGGATATATGTATATGAAGCCTGATCATCGATAGATAATAGGAAAAACTACGGCGGGGTCAGGGTTCCGGGTTTGATTATGAAGATGCATCCAAAGCACCATTTCTGCAGTCCAGTCAGGGCTGGAGTTTGAAATGCAGTTGAAACTTGAAAATCGGATTTTCAGAAAAGTGGCGCCACTGAGTTTGAAACTGCAATCTAGTCAGCCACGTGGGAGGGCCCAGTAGAGGCCCTGGCACAGGCCTGGGGAAGTGAGAAACAGCCCGTGGTCCTGGGCCTGCCCCTGATCTGTGGTCCCTTTCTAACAGGAGTGAACTTGGACACACTGATAACAAAGCCCAACTCTTGTAACAACGGATAAAATGTCAGTCATGCTCTCGACAATGTCTGCAACGGGAA